GCTTTCTTAACAACTGAAAGATAGCGATACCGAATCAATTATTTCAACCACAGAAAATATTTCTAAATTACCAAAAAGCAAAAATTCAGAAGAGTTAAAAATAGAGAAAAAATTGATAAATTTACAGAGTGCGAAGAAACAGGTAAAGATGACACTGTGCGTTGAAAAAATCACTTGAACCACAGCAAATATTTCTAAATTACCAAAAAGCAAAAATTCAGATGAGTTAAAAATAGAGAAAAAATTGATAAATCTACAGAGTGCGAAGAAACAGGTAAAGATGACACTGTACAATCAAAAAAGAAGTTCAATACCGACACTTGGCAAATTGATAAATCTGAAGAGTGCGAAGAAACAGGTAAAAATGACACTGTACAATCAAAAAAGAAGTTCAATACCGACACTTGGAACAAAAGTAACGAGTAATTAACGATCGTTACACAAACGTGAATCTCAATGAAGGAGAAAAATAGACCGAAGGACGCCTCGCGTCGAAGAACACGTACAAAAAGCTTCCTTGAGCAAAAGTGAATCGATTACGCGTCGTTTAAATAGAGAAGAAGCGGTTGAAGGGGGATCGAAACACAAAGATCCAGGTGACTGAAAGTAACAATGTCACCGATCAAAGTGAAGAGTCATCATCCAGGTTGTGCACCCTAAAAGCAACGAAGAAAATGAACCTTCGTTGTCCGTTCGAAGCTTCGTAAGTTTCGAGAATAATGATAAATTACGCGGAAGAAGGGCCCGTAATACGGTGGATTAATCGGATAAAATAGTGGGGGAGGGACAGGACCGAACGAAGATGAAATTACGAGAAACAATATGACGGAGGACGGCGAGTAGAAGACGCCATCTGCAACGCGGCAATTAATCGAAGACAACGAACTCGAAGCGTACTCGGTTACGAGCATTCGAGAACTGCTTTGAATACCAAAACATCCCTTCAGACGTGGATGAAAATCCAATTACACGTCGTTTAGCTGAAGAATCCGTGGCACATTCTATTAATTGGACTGATAACGAACGATATAAAGAGATATCGAGTAAAGCTGTTCGAACACGCGAGGAAATGCTCTCGACTAACGGCGAAGTGTGCGATCCTGGCTTGAAGCACGCTTGTTACAATTAGGATCTATGGAAAAGTTGTCCGAGTCGATAAAATTGCGAACGGTGAAAAAATTGCAGATTGAATTGAAAAAGAGGTGCAAAAATATCGCGGAACAGGAAGATTTCGACGGATACAAAGTAGAACGTCGAGGAATACTTTTGAAGGATATAACGATGTTTTTGTCGAGGGTAACGAGGAACGTGCAGGGAAAATGGAGGGAAATAAATTCACGAAGGGTGTTCTAAATGTGTCGCGTGTAACTGCATCACTCGAGGAAAGTGACTGTAAGATTGGCGATGACAGTGTCTGTCGAAAATGTGACAAGCTGTTGTCCGTACTTTTTGAGAAAGTTGGCAAATTTTTCTCGCGAATGTCAGGCGGACAGTGTCGACGAGAACGTGTGTATAAAAAATAGAGATGCGTGAAAAGACTGAATGCTAAGTCATCGGACACGTCAATTCAATTCCATTTGACAGACTTTGCTTTGGAAAATTTCTGTCTTTCAAACAGATTCAGTCTCAAACAGATTTAACGTGTCCGATCTTCTTGATTAGCAGTCCGTATACTTCGAACAGTATCCTGAAACAAATTTCCACGAAAGAGGAATGTTTTTCTCAAATATCCTAGCAACTCGGAGTTCTAAGAACGAGCGTCATTCTTCGAGCAAGAAAGTCGAAAGCACAAAGTCGAGCAGACCTTTGTCCCATCTTTCTCTGACGTGATCATCCAACGAAACTAGCCGAGAAATTTCAGTCGCTGAATTCGTAAAGAAACTGCAACCTAGTTTCTGGAAGTTTGTGTAACCACTGTCAGAAGTCGTGCATAAAATTGAACCGTCCGTCTCTACATCTATGGAGTCGTTTAAATCGCGTCCCGATGAGAAAGAACCTGTGAAATCAGTGAAATCTTCTTTTTGCACTTCGTCCTGAATAAAGTTTCAGGGCTCGGAACCGCGAATGACGATTTCTGCACAAATTTACATATTTTTGAAATAAAAATGCATCGATCGAAATCGAAGCGGCGAATATACAGTTTCTTCCGTCGTTGGGGTATTTGTGAATTATAGTTCGGGTCAAGATTTAAGTTCTTCAAGGCCACTATCATACGTGGAAATAAAATCGCGCATAATCTTCAATTTTATGACGTTATCGAGGTAGTGATTGAGCTCTAAATTGAGTGATAAGCTCCAAGTTGAGCTTCTGAAAATTTACATTAAAATGATAGAAACGTTATGGTGGGGGAAAGTGCCGTAAGTGTCCTTCAACGCGCGAAATCTTCGACCGCGACTATAACAGCCACAATTTAGAAACCTTAATTGATCCTTTCAACGTTCAAAGGACTGAAATAAAAAGAAAAGTTAAAAGCGTTCATTTTTATTCGAGGAAAATCACTTACTATCGGAATAAACGCGGGGACACGTTGATACAAATCACGAGCGATTATTTCACCGATACGATTAAATTGTCCTAATTTCAAGGAAATATTGGACTCGCTGCGACAGATTTTATCCGTCCATCTCCGTCGTAACACGTTCCCGCTAATCGTGCTCACGATCTGACACTGTCCATTTTTCCTTTTCCTCTTTCGTGCCGAAATTACCGTCGTTTGTCACGAGCGGCGCTGGTAAATAAGCTCGGAAAGAAGGGGAATAGAAACGATGAAACGATTACGGGGCAGGAAATGAGCGAATGCGAGGCAGCGGAGGCCAGTTGTCGTCGCGTATTTTAAAGATGTGTTAGGCGCGAATCAATTTCGGGTCAGCAGTTTCGTGATCAGCGACCGTGCGCATTGACCGTTCCAATGGCCTCCGCAGGACAAACGGGAAAATTACTGTCTGACATATTTGCATATCTCCGTGAAACCGTCGTAAATTCACGACCATATCGGTTCAGCCAAGAGTACGGACATTCTCCCTTTAAAAATAATCGATTCATCGCCACTTGGATCAACAACGACGAAAAATTTATATTTTTCCACCAATTTACAATTTTTGCAAAATATTCGTGTAATTTAATTTAAGTTTATAGATAGAATTTGTTCTTTCTGATTGAACAGTTTATTTTCCACTAATATTTTTATCTCTCTCTTTTTAGTTTCAATATGTTTTATCTAGTCGCTTGTTTTTTTTTTCTATTTGAAAAATAATTCCCCTAGTACAGGTTCAGACAATGTTTCATGGATTTCCAATGTTTTCTATACGCCATAAAAATATTTCTTTTCCTTTAAACAGATTTAGCACGCACATAAATCTTACTTTCGCGAGAGACAGCAATAACAACGTTGGATTCATACATGGTGGGAGAATTTTTGAAAAATTTAGTACCATCCGCAAACAGAAAATCGAATCACTGACCTCCTTTCTATACGGGGAGTGGGGAGTCAACAATGGAACGTTTAACGATCGGTTACGATGAAATTATTGCTCGTACGTATTCCGCTAGTATATAACGTATTGCGTGAATTTTAAATACAGGCTTAACTTCCCACGCGAATTTAACGAACAGAAAAATAAACTGAGGTAGAGGAAGAATAAACCAACTGCTTTCTCTGCATATCAACATTTGCACGTTGCCAAATGCCTACAAAAATTTTCCTTATAAAATAAATAAAACTTTACTTGGTCGAAAAATCTGACGTTTACCTTCAAACACAAACGACAAAATTAAACTGAAACTTCTACAATTTTCAACCTTACATCCACGTTCCCCGCGAAACTGTCCACGAGAGCAAAACAAAAGGCCAAAGCGCGCGCCGGTCGTCTCGCAGAAATCCATTTGTCGATCAAGCGAGAATCTCCCTGGGAACGTTCCCCTATCTCGCGGTATTCGTGCCACGAAACGTCTCTCTCTCTCTCTCTCTCTCTGCCTGTCTTGACACGAAAGTGTGTCAAAGATGTGCGCTGAATGCAGACAATACAGCATCGAGAACAATGCCGAGAGGCGTTATTACAGAAACGTCCCTCAAATCGGATGCTAGGCACAAAGATTATCGCGACGACGACGACGACGAAAGAGGACGAGGCCTCCGTTCCTCCGTGAAGACATCCAGTTCCATCAACGCCACCGGTGAGTACAACTACGCACAGCCCGCCTTGATCTCGCTCGTTCTAACTGCCACTCTCTTGACAAACGCCACGAAGAAAGCGTGGAACGAAGACAGGGTAAGAGCGAGACGACGTTAAAACCACAGATATGGCCTCCTTCGAGAAAAGTGGTTGCTGAAGCTTAAAGGCCGGTCATTACGCTGAACGCTCAGCCACGTTACTGATGGATGACCCGGAACACAGAGAGAGAGAGAGAGAGATGGCCAGTCTTGGCTGCTGGAGAGCCACCCAACGTTGCTGCTGCACAGTTCAGCTCTACGAGCTCCGTGGCTACCGTCGCGAAACTTTCTTTGTGGCTTTTCAAACAAGAGTACAACTTCATCATAGGCCGGTTTGAGCCCGCGGGGACCACGCGAAACTTTGCGGTTCGTTGCTCCGCGTATTCGTGGCCGAATCGTTTAACGGGCGCAATGGCTTCTTGCGAACGATAACTGGCCGGTCGTTTAACTTTAGTTGTTGTGTGACGTGCGCGAGCCTGTTACTACTACCGAGCTACGCTCAATTAGCCAACTTTCTTTCCGCGGGGAGATTCACGGGAGAGCGGAGTATGTACGAGGGAAACCAGACGATAAAAGTTAATAATTTCGAGCTATTAATCGGCCGGCACCGACCAGAGAGACTTAATTTCGTTACGTAGCCCGTTTAAAGGGTATTAGAGAAACAGCTGACGGGAGAATGTTGTGGGTTTGTTCGAGACAACCGAGGAAAAATTAGTTCGATAGAAGTTTCTGTACAGAGGAGAATTGAATTTATTTGAATTAAATTTCATCGATTAGATTCGACTCTCACCTCGAAATCCGTGAAGGCTTTGTACGTGAGGATCAAACAGCCGCCGAAGAAGAGACAGGTCGCTAGATTTCTGGTGTCTGCCAGAGAAGCGACCAAAGGAACGGATCCCATTTGCCAATCGTGCGACAGCGTCGTAGGGCAGAGTAGCAACCAGCAATTCAGCGCTGCCAGATAGCAGAACGTCAATAATCTGAAATCAAAAAAACCCGAGTTGTTCTTGTTAACGACGTCGATAGGTGTGAAAAGAGGAGAAAAGGTGAGAAAAAAGAATGGAAAAGAGTGTAATGTACGTGGAACGTTGATGTATCGTAGGAGAAGAGTCGCGATTTTCGCGGAATAATCGCATTTCGCCGCAACGCCTGCGTCGCCGTCATGCTTCTGGCACGTACGGCTTATTACTATCCGTAAGCGTCAATCATGTGTCACTGGAGTGCTCTGTTGGACGTGTCAAACTCAGACCCCCGGGGACTGCGTTAAATAGCACATTTTACCCCTGTCTTTTTTCCCTGCATTACTGCTATTATGGGGTTAATGCACGTTTCATTTCGGTAAAACGCGACGAAGAGATCTCTTTCTTTTTTCTCAGGTACCAAGTTAAATCATACGCAGGGAATATCGATTAACTCGTCATTTCTTCCATTTATTTATACCGATGAATTAAATTGACATGAATTTAAACGGAGTATCTCCACTTAACACATCACTTAATGTATTTCGATTTAGCTAGTCAGTATTCGAATACCGGAATCAGCCGATAATCAACGCAAATAAAGAAGCACTCTTTGGCTTATTAAACCAGCCAAATCACGCGCATTCTTTCACCAGTCTCTCACTCCAACGTCCAAAGCGTACCGCACAAAGCAGGATCGATTTCGACCAATATTCAAAGTGTCCTCGACGCGCGGATGCATTAAATGCCCACCTCTCGTCGTTCCACTTAAGCAATTACCATCGAATTTGCCCCCCCAAATTTAATCGTTCCTTTGTACACGCACGAATCGAAGTCTCCGCCTAACTCGATCTCAACTTTCCTTCACCCGTTGCACACTTAACTCTCTCATCTGTGACACTCTTCTTTCACCGTTTCATCTCGACCAAACCAAACCCAACTCTCCCTTTCTTCGCGTTTCACACCGTCGTCCTCCAATGCTTCCACCTTTCTCTCCTTCATTTTTCGTCCCGTCTCGCAAATTGGTCGACGATACTTCGCGGCGAACAGCGAGTCCTCGCGGCTGGTATTGTTCGACTGGCGACGGCGACGGTGTGAAGAGGTCGAACGACGACGCTGAAGAGCCCAGGCGGCCTCGAATGCTGACGCGAGGCTTCTCCATTTTCCCCGCTATCAGCATCCACCGATATAATCACCGATATAATGGCCGGCCGTCCCCCGTGCCAAGCATCTCAGCCATCCTCGAGGAGCACGGTCCCGGTGTATCGTCGCGCCTACGACCAGCTTACTCGGCAAGTCTATTGTTTGCCGTACACCAGAGGACGCGTTCGCGTTACACGGCCGCCATCACCCGCTGTTAAATATTCGTCTCGCTCCTGGGACCGTTAATCCAGTCACTGTACGATCCCCTCTAATTGTCATCGCTGTTGGATGAGGTATTATCAAAATCGACCGCGTTTAAGCCGCGCAGCCATCGAACGTGGATCAATGGCCTGTGTGTTCCCAATTGGATGCTCGAATTCGGTTCGACGGGTTTTACGGGAATATCGAACGGAGAGATTTGTGAAAAATTTTTGAAAGGGAAAGAAGCTTTTACCCAAGGTATTTCCACTTCCGTTAACCCTCGTACGCTCCTCGGGTGAAAATTCACTGTCCAGATGCTGTACTATGTTTCCGAATGTGTTCTAACTTCGTGTATTCGAAATTCACAAATTTAACTAACTTTCAACGAAACATAGCGTAAAAGATTGCCGACAATATTAAGCAAAATATGGAGCAACAATGGGTGAAATCGTCGTCGGCTGAAAGTATTCTAATTTACCGTCAATTTGACGCGGTTTGTTCGAGGATTTTCTTGAAAAATATATCACGTCGCTAAACATTACTCCACTTAACGTGTCCTCATTTGCGTACAACACGTTCGGATAACGAGTTTCACGTGTGTTCTACTCATTTTCTAGATTTAATAATGCCGCGCGCGGTAAGCCGGGTAACGCGTACATTACATTTGGCTTTATGACAGAGTACATTGTACCGAAATTCTGAGGAGCATAATTATCCGCATTAACGAAGAACTGGAAGAACTGTAGAGAAAGTGAGCGAGGGCGGGACACAACTGGAAAATATAAATATAACGTGTGGAAAGTGGCATTGTGTCCTCTTCTAGTTCCCCGCTCGCGTACGTAAAGAGCAACGTGCAACATTTCCCGCTTTCGTCGTACACGTACATATGCGCGTTGTTTCAACAATAGAACGTCGCCGGATTTGTTTTAAAAGAGCCTCACTCTGGATTATTAACACCCTACAACCGAGGGCTTCGCGTTGCTTTTCATTGAAAGGGAAACATTCGTGGCGCAGGGGTCGCGCGAACCCCGTTGCTCGTCATTTTTCCGTTGTAAATACAATACCGGGGACTTAATTAAACGTATTGTGCCTTTTCACGGGCACAGTTTGCCGCGATAATTCCTTACGATCGTTGCTCGTTGCGACAATTTCTGCCGTTCGACGCGAGGAAAGTAGCTAATTCGCCGTTAACCGTTTACAAATCACCGCTGTAATTCCTTGCTCTCCGCGGAGCAAAGGAAAGTGTAACAACTTCGATTTTTGCACACGTTCTTTTTTTTCCGTGTTTGCACGAGGCGAGTAAAACGGCAGCAGTGAACTAGTTTTCAAAGTACACAGCCTAAGTTTCCATCAGTCCGTAGTTACGCCAGTTCTGTGTTAGTTTTCGATTTGTAGCTGCGAAACTTTTAACTTCGCGTCGGATCATTATGTATCCAACGTGAGGCTGGAGTTGCCGCGTAAGGTGTATCACAATTCTTCTTTTATCCAAGGAAGGGAATTACGCGGTACAGGATACTGGAGCAAAGTGGAGGAATAATTAATACTTGAAAATTAATTTTCAAAAGGGAAGTCAGGCAGATTCTTCTAACCACGTTTCAGCTAGGCAAAGATAAACAATCTTGCTCGCTGTCACATCGTCGATTCTACCAATTGTAAAAGCACGTCACAATTTTATACGATACAAAGGAAGTAACACTTTACATTCGTCATTTCAACGAACCGATTTTTCAGATTTAGATTTGCAACAGAAGACACTTGTCAAGCTCGTTCCTCGAAATTCTAAACTTCGAATTACCAACTTCCTAGTTGAAACGAGT